TTTAGAGGTATATTCTTCTCTAAAACACAGGAACAAGAGATGACGGTTTTGTTTCTTCATAGGTATAATCCGAGCTGCAATTGTCTCTCTCACACACGGCACAGCAAGATCGTTAAAAACCGAATAAAAAATGCCTTGCCGCCTAGTAATTCCTCTTATGATTATAGTGCAAGTATGTTACACTACTTATTTGTGCCCGGTCTTCCCACATCGCCGTCGTTGATGGCCGTCCATTATATTATCTTGTAGTTTTATTGGTGTAGTTTCAGTCCTTGCACTCATCATAAAATAAAATAATAATCGATTCTAACCGGTACCACTGAAATTGGACGTAGTTATACAAAAACGTTCCAACCCACAAGTCATTCAAAAAGGAGTTAAATATACAGATCTACTTATTTTGACATCTTCGCGAAGATGTCAAAATAAGTAGATCTGTATATTTAACTAATTTTTGATTGTCACTCCCATGACTGACTTGACATTAGCAGAATTCTTTTACGAGAAGCCAAAAAGTAAAGAAGAAGAAGAAAAAGAACTCATTTTTGAATGACTTGTGGGTTGGACCGTTTTTGTATAACTACGTCCAATTGATATCTGCAATTTTAAGTGCAGATTCATAGTGCGTTTGGCTGTGAAGGAAAACGTCGTGAGAAGACCTGCATGTGAAATTTATTCCAGTCCCAGCTCGAAAACTGTTTTAGAAATTAAGAGCCCTGTGCCCAGCTCTGGGAAATATGTAGCTTTTAACTTTATTTCTACATTTAATGTTCTTGTCGATTTTGAATTCGATTACAAACAGTTGGACTTATTTAGTTTTTAGTTGTTTGTAGTTCTACTTTTTAGTTGGACTTTGAGTATTCAGTTTAAAACTTAAAGTTGTGAAGCTGCTAATACAGGACAGACAGATTATGTTATAATAGGGTACCTTGGGTTTTATCGTAGTTATGAAATTACGATAAAACCTTAAAACATAGAAAGCAGAAAATGTCAATTCGGTCGGACAGCTTGAACGAAAATGTTTTAAATTTTAATGTTTTTTTTCTCTGTCATACAAGGAACCCTGAATGGAAAGAAAAAAAAAACATTGTACTTACATACTTACATTTATTACGTTTATATTTAAAATAAAGACATACAATTGCGATTGTGTTTACATAAAAAATACTATGTATTTCACGGAATGTGACAAAGAAAACTCAATTAGTATAGAACTTAGCACTTCAATAAAAATACCTATAATTATTTTAACCTTGCATTATGTAATAATGCTAAGTATGAATGTACACTCTAGGTCGAAAATTAGTAAATGTTTGATTACGAAACTTACATAATATTGTCAACAATGATAAAAAATTGTGTGCTCAAGTTATTTTTTTTTTAATTAAATTGTACCTTTACTACTGGCCATATATTGCTAACATAATGCCTACTTAACGGTTAACGCTCAAAACTTATTACTTATGGTGTAAATAGTCATTTTATTCCCAATACATTAGCAGCCTTTCATAAGTTTTATGACTGAATGAGCTAATGCCTGGTCACGATGTGATTTCTCAGCATAATAAATAAATTTGGGGGACATAAAAAGTATTGTGGGCCTTTCTAAGAAAGTGCGCTTTTCAGTAACGACGACCAGTGTTATAAGAGTCTAGCCGTCTGCGCAGGACAGGATTACAGTGCACGAGTGTGTGCGCAAGCACAGGTAGGTATACCCTCTATTACCTCATTTTCAGGGCGATGGGCTAGCCTACGATACGACCGGAGAGAACAGACGCAGGGCCAATGGCTTTACGTGCTTTCCGAGACAAGGAAGTGATATACCGCCAACTGTCTGACTCCGGGTTACTACGGAGAAATTATTGACAGAAAAACTCAAACTGATTCAGGAATTCAAGCCCGGGACCAAATCATAGTCGCGCTTACGACCATTAGAACAACGAGCCAATCAGTACAAAGGTGAACTTCACAGACGATAATGATTATGGCAATAATGCCAGTTCGTAAAATTTGGGTTTCGTGTTTCGGGATTAGTTTTCATGATTTTCCAACAGACTTGTGCGTTAACCAACAGGGTGTAACGCGAGCATGGAAGGTTGACATTAAGGAAATATCGCACTTTCATACACAAATAATATTATTTTTGGCAATTAAAAAAATTCGCCTATGAAATTAAAATACATATAACAAAAAAGATGTTAGGATATTAAAAAAAAATTAAGAAGAAACTACCTAAGTTCTAGAAGATTCCATTTTATTATACTTTTTGTTTCCTACCTACGATTGTTTACTTTATATTGTTGTATTACGTCGCATTCTGTTTGCATTGGTTATTTTGTCTTTTACAATATTTTTCAGCAGATTTTTTGAAGAGTTCCTAATTATTGCCAAAGTTTATTTGCCATTTCAGTATTTGTCTCAGTTAGCTCCAACTAGTTTTTTTTATAAGGTGGCAAAGCTTTAGGTGGTTATATTAATCTCACACATTTTACTTGTAATAAATTATAAACGAAAAGTTAAAAATATTATTTACACATATAAAAAAGTATTAGAAAAATAAGAGTATTAGAAGCTCGGGGACTAAACGCTCGCTGTAAACGTGAGCAACCCGGGTTCGGTCCCCGCTGGCACCAATGAAATTTTTAGTGCAATTTTAGATTTACCACGTACTCTACGGTGAAGAAAAACTACGTCGGGAAACCTTCATGTTTGAAAAATTAAAAAAAATATATATTTCGAAGAAGTCCGCAAAAACGCATAGAGGCAGTGCGGTGGACATTTCCTGTCCCTAGAACCCCTTAGATTTCTGAGAGGCCTGTGCCCACCAGTGGAATTTATATAGACTGTAACTTTAATTTTTTTTATAACAAAATATACATGGGTTCTTTTATAGCAATTTTACATTACAATCCAAATGGAATGGAGAATACACCGACCAAATCATTATTTATTTACCAACAAACAATAATATTACTTTGTGCTAACATTACAATATCTTAAAATATATACATGTACAACATATGTTAATAATGATTCGAAGTCTTAGGGCAGCAATATCGCCTTCGCGTTATAAATCTTATTTATATATAAATAAGACACAATTTCGAAAAAAAGTAGTTTTTAAATAGAAATAATATAAAAATAGAATATAGGCTTTTTACACTTTGGTATTTTACGGTATTTATTATATTATACATATATTAAAACGACAACTGCTATTAGAACAATCAAGGTGTTAGTGCATTATCCTACAAGTCTAGGATTAAAACTTCTTTTTATTAAAAAATGGCTATGTTAACAATTATCTTCCATATTATGTGAGCTTACACTAGGGTCGGATATATGCGGCGAAGGCGGAACATCATGGGGTTTTAGTCAGTGCTAGTCCGACAACGCCACCCCCTCCCTCTTTAGCACAGCGGGTATGCATTGGCAATACGCATAAAAAGGGTAGGATAACCTAAAGGAAAAGTGGACAACCTACAGGTCCCATGGGCTGAACAAAATAAGTTTTGTAAGAGTATTCTAATTAGATTTACAATAACGTTTTTAAAAGCCTATTTTCAATAATAATAACAAACAACTTCACATTGTTTGAGTAGAGGTACGCGTCCACTGGATCGGCATCGAAACGTAACGTAGGTATATCTTACAAATGAAACTTGTGAAAGAAACTGAACTATAAATGTATTTGTTGCTGTCTCTGTTGCACAAAATATCAACAGGTTCATGTCATGTCAAAGATTTTTCCATCAGGTAGAGAAATTAAAAAAATAGATACGTTGTGTTATTATAAAATGTATGTTTTATACATATATGTATTGTAAATAGGTATGTTTCTTTGTTTAACGTACAAAATCCCTAGCAATTTTTAGTGAATTTATCAAACACTTCTAAAATTAATATTTGATTGATTTCGTATGGTCTACGAATACGAACTCGTTGTTTTTTAATACTATAAGCAAGTGCAAGATAACCTAACTAACGTAACCCACCTGGGTAAATGGTTACACTGCCGAAGATGGCGAAGCAAAACGCTTAGCCAAACAAAAACCTATACACAATAACCTATTTAAATGTAAGCCGTGAAAGTGACGGTGTAAGAATATCCACTATTCCATAATATACCCTTCCGCGGGTTTCGTAAGAGGCGACTGAGGGAAACTGAAACGGGCAGATGGGTAGCACCATCTTCCTGATAACAAATTAACGCCTGTCAAGTGTGGCTATTATTACAAAATGTCCCCTATAAGTGAATCTTTGGTTAAGGTTGTCTATGTTTAGCAGTGGCCTTTAAAGGCTGTAATAGACCGATGGAATAACCTATTTAAGTGAACATATAGTTATATAACATATAGAATATGGTGAAAAGGTGTAAAATGTAGGATGTTACTTAATTGAACTGTGTTGTTAGATAATTTTTCCAATACATTTTAATCACGGCGTATAATTTGCGCCATTAAATTTATAATTTAATGGCGCAAATTCTCATAGATGCAAATTGCTAATTTTTTTAAACATCGTGTGCACTCTGTTTGATCACAAGTAGCACTAGATGGGTAATAAATAATAGTCGCTAAAAGTTGGAGTTTACTTTTTCTACTTCGTCCACGATTTTCTATCTGTACAGTATCTGATCTAAGCTCAAGATGTAAAATTAATACAAAATACCAAATCCGTATATAGTGTATATTTCGATGCGGATCCGTATGACGCTTACTTCAAAACTTTTGCTTTAGGGAGTTGGTAAAGAGAGCGGACGACCCGAGACTTGACTTGGACTTGATTTGTCTTATCTCGCCATGGCACACACTAATATTCATCCGTACATATACTTATGTATATATTTGTAACGTAATACATTTAGAAATAGAATACTTACGATTTTTGTTTTACTTTCATATTGCTAACGTAATTCTAAATAAATAAAATAAATTGAAAACTGCATAATGTATCACCCTGTAGCTGTAAACAAATAGATATCACTGGTATTTTTAAGGTTACGCCTCTGGATTCTTTCGCATCAGCACCAAATCAGCATCCACCATATCCTTGACTAATTGTTCGAACGTCACCCGAGGTGTCCAGCCGAGTTTCTCCTTCGCTTTACTCGGGTCACCTAATAGCAGGTCCTGGAATTATTTATAACATTAGTGATAATCGAGCTAACAGTATGTCTGGTAAGTGGTTGGTGCAGCCCATGGATAAGAGTTACTGTTCTGAGCTTCAAACAAAGGGCACAGGGACCTTTGAGGACTAAAATAAAAGGCTTTACAGCGTGTTATTATACTGTGAGGATCAGCTTACTAATCTGTTAGACAACGTTGGTTTACTGCTTCTACCACAGATATCATTTTTAAGTCTATCACGCAGATATACTAAGAGCATAACATAGGCTTCCTACAAGGAATGCCACAAAGCACAGTCCTGAGTCACCTGCATAAATCGACTTCCTGCATGTCTTACCAGGTCTTCACTCCATCTAGTGTGGGGTCGCCCTACACTTCGCTTTCCGGTACGAGGCTGCCACTCGAGCTATATGGCCCATTGCCACTTCAGCTTACTAATCCGTTGGGCAATGTCGGTAACTCTGGTTCTACTGCGGATATCCGCATTTCTAAGTCTATCACGCAGATAAACCCCGAGCATAGCCCTCTCCATAGCTAGCACGTCTCAGATCCATAAGTTATCACTGGCAACACGCACTGGTTGTACAATCTCGTTATCAGGTTTTGAGGTATACCTGACAAGATGTGTAGTAATTTCCCGAACGCCACCCAGCCGAGTTGAAACCGTTGATTGACCTCTCGGTCGAAGTTGGACTTGCCTAATCGGACTATTTATCCCAGGTAAACATACTCGTCAACAACTTCGGGTGCTCCCAACAACTACCGGCATAGGTGTAACATGGACGTTATACATGATCTTTGTTTTGTCAATGTTCATCTTAAGACCTATCCGTCGGGAGGCACTATTGAGATCATTGTGCTGTTTAGGTTCTCCAACGATTCTGCCATAAGGACTATATAGTCGGAAAATCGAAGGTGAGTGATGTACTCGCCGTTGATGTTAATACCGCATCCTTTCCAGTCCAGTAGCTTGAAAACGTCTTCCAATGTAGCGGTGAAGAGTTTTGGGGATATAACGTCACTCTGTACACCTCACTGCAGTTAGATCGGTTTCGTACTCTGGTTCTGTACTCGGATAGCCATCGTAGCTCTACTGTACAAACACTTCAGCACTTTGATATACCGACAGTCTACTTGGCACCGCTGAAGGGACTACAGCACCGCCCAAATTTCGAAGGAATCAAAGGCTTTCTCATAGTCCACATACGCAAGACAAAGTACAATTTGCCGAAGGGTATGTATGTGGTCTATGGTGCTAAAGCCTTTTCGGAAACCGGCTTATTCAGCAGTCTGGAAGTAGTCAGAAGTCTGCTTGCGAGACGATTCGTAATGACTCTCGAAAACAGCACGTAGACGCGGCTCAGAAGGGAAATCAGTCAGTAATTCTTCAAGAGAGCGTTGTCGCCTTTCTTGAAGAACAAGACCACCGCACTTCTGATCCACGCCTCCGGAGTAGTCGCACTATGGAGTACGGAATTAAAGAGCTTCTGAAGAAGAACATAAAGTCCCGGTTTAATTTGATTACTAAGGAAGAATTAGGTAAACATAACGTAAGTAAACAAAATGTATCCAAAATAACAAAACACTGCGGTTACTATCCCGCCCGCTAAGCGTATCCACTATGGAACTATTCTTTATGATGTAATCTAGGAGAGGTCTATGGCCGGGCTGGGCATGGCGGGGGACAAAAATTTCATCCCCCGATTATATCCACTGACAAAAGATAAAATTATCTTGTTATGTCAAACGGGTAGAAGTATATCCCCGTTTGACATAACGAGTATACATATATCCCCTGTCCGTAGCATGGAGCCAAATGAAAGATAAAAAATAATGCTTTTTTGATATTTGAACGGGACCATTTTATCCTAGTTCATTGGACGTGGGTTGAAGTTTATATTCATACAAAAAAATCTGTCTAAGTCTAAGCCTATTTCCCAATTTATCTACTGTGGATATTATATCCACCGGTGTGCCCATGCTCTAAGGGTGGATAAAATTAAGCGAGGAGATAAACATTTTCTCCTTTCCCCGGGGATAAAATTGTCTTCTGCCCATGCTAGCCCTGCAGTAGTGGAATTTTTATAGACTGTAATTAATGTATATGATTTTTCCTGATAAGTAGAATCGAGCTACACAGATCCGGGCGCCACTAGCGAAAAAATTTGCCACTACCCTCTATACTTAGTAAACCAGTGCAAGACGACATTACATCTGATGGAAAGCAGTGACGTAGCCCTAGAATGTTACCCGGGTTAGATATGATATCATATTAAACCCTGGGGCAAGGTTTCGTGAGGATTCGTGGTGCTCACTTTACATTACACGTGGCAGAGTCATGCTGCAGCTATTTAAGTAGTATAGTTGTAGCACGAATGGGTCGGCTCGACCGGGGGAGGACCACGCTCTCACAGAATACCAGCGTAAATAGCAGCTTAACGCTGTTGTATTTCGTATGGTGAGTGTAGAGAACCAGAGACCCTTTTTACTGGAAATGAGGCATTCCATCTTAGTCCTCTCCTCACGGGTGACAACGCATCTGCATTTTGATTTGTAATAGAGGATAGGTGTAGATATCTATGGGCCGCAGCAGCCACTTACCATCAGGTAGACTGTGTGCTCGTTTGTCACCCTTATCCTATAAAGAAAAACATAGGTAAGAGAATGTGTAACTCACTACTTCTGTGGGCCGGAAGTACTTCGGGTTGACTCGTACGAGTAATTCCCCAGTTTTCGCGTCGTGTGCGGTTTCGTGGACCCCTTGTCCCCTCCACTCCAGCGTACGTCCGACATGAGCGAACGCTTTTTCCACGAATTCTCGGACGCTATGCGTTTCTCCCGTTGCCACAACGAAGTCCTCGGGCTCCTCTTGTTGCAGCATCAGCCACATCGCCTGCGGTGATAAGACAGTCGACTTACGGATTACGCTTGCCATTTTTTATCTTGGTGACAGCTGAAATGCTATCGGAAGCTGCCCAGGATATTAATGTACGCACCGCATAAGACGTGTGTTAAAAGCCTAAGTGAATGCACTATCCCATTTTGTTCCTTGAATGTCGTAAGAAATGCCAAAAAGATCTCAGACTTCTTTAAGCCGAACGTCCACCGCAAACTAAACTAAGTTAGTTTAATTTTAGCTCGCTTAGCTGAGCCACTAAAATTTAAGAGTTTCACTAAGAGTTACTAAAACTAATATATAATAACACGTCGTATACCGGAATTGAAGTTACAATTCCGGTATACGACGTGTTCAAAGAATTTTTAAGTTAGACGTACACAAAAATAACACTTCCTTTATCAATAAATAATTTTGTCAAAATGTGCCGTGATTACCAGATTAAGCGTACACCTTTATTAAAATCTGGTAGTACATTAGACCCCGCCAAATTTAGACCTATTTCTGTACTACCAACACTTAGTAAGATTTTTGAAAAAATTATTCTTGATCAAATGTTAAATTTCTTTAATATAAATAATTTACTTCATAAAAACCAATTTGGTTTCACAAGGGGTTGCTCGACAACTGATGCCAGTGTTGAGCTGATAAAATATATCTTTAATGCATGGAAGAATTCACAGGATGCTTTGGGTTTATTCTGGCCTTCGATTTTGTTCACCATGAAATATTAATCAGGAAACTTCAACACAACGGTGTAAGAAGTGGTGCTCTTAAATTAATTATTTCATATTTAAGTAAAAGAACGCAAAAAAGTTGTCAGTAACAGCGTGAGCTCTTCCGAGTGGATGGTACAAATGTGCGTGCCTCAAGGCTCAATTCTCGGCCCCTTTTTGTTTCTTGTATAGATTAATGATTAACTTTACATAGTAGCGGATAACTATGATATATTATTATCTGCTGATGTCAATTTTCAAATAAAGACGACAATTACTAAAATATGACGAAGTGAATAATGCTATATCTAAATTAGTAAATTGGTTCAATGTTAATAATTTGCATTTAAATGGCACTAAAACGAAATGTATGAAATTCATGACTCCAAATGTCAACAAATACTAATGTAATTTTAAATAGGGAGGAACTGAGTGTTGTCGATACCACCATTTTTCTTGGAACACTAGACGCGAAGCTTCAATGGAGCCCCCATATATATTAAAACTAGCAAGCAGAGTTAGTTCTGCAGCATATGCTGTAAAAATGATTAGAAATCTTACCAGTGTTGAAACAGTTAGACTAATTTACTTTAGCTATTTCCATAGCATAATGTCGTATGGTATTTTGCTATGGAGACACGCGGCTGACACTGAAATTATATTTGTTTTACAGAAGAGGGCCACTAATGATTTAAAGCCTAGAGAGTTGCTACAACAAAAATTTAAGGAAATTAATATAAAAAAAAATAACTTTGGCCTCTCAATACATTTATGAAAATGTAATGTACGTACACAAAAATAAAAGTAGTTTTACAAAAATAAGTGATATTCATTCTGTACATACTAGGAACAGACACAAGCTAGTAGTACCAGTTACTCGACTCCACCGAGTCAGTAATTCAATGTATACGCTTTTACAACAAAATTCCAGAAATATACAAAATTTGACCTGCTCAAAGTTTAAAAACTTTATTAAACTAAGTTTGTATAAAAAGGGTTATTATAATATTAAGGAATTTATGGACGATAAATTCCTTAACATTATAATTTATAAATTATAAATATTAATTCCTCTGGGAATGAGTTAATCGCTACCAAGCTATTTCTAATTTGTTGTGTTGTTAATTGTATAACATACATGATTATAAGCTGTTATTTAAAAAGTCCCGCTAGGTTTTTTGTTGGTTCCTACCAGGACAGAGGTTTTTTTGGAACCAGTAGTAATTAAATAAAAAAGTGTCTTTCAATAAGTATTACTTATAATCTATATTGAACAAAAAAGTTTCTGTTTCTGTAGTAACCTACATCTAGATATATTCGATAATAGCCTTGTTAGATTTAAAAGAGATTTACGCGTTTCTCTTAATATTTAATGTATATGCATATAATTTTATCATGTTTGTTTTTGCTACGACTAAGTTTCTACTGCAGTTATAGTACTATACTGTTTACACTTCTTTGGATTGTAGTTCAGATCAAAACCGTTATGCTTTTAATTTTAGAACTGAATATAACTACTGTCTGTTTGTGTACCTTATTCAATAATATAAAAAACAAAAAAATTAATAAAGCGTCTAGCTAGCATACCTCAACGTAGTCTTTCGCGTGTCCCCAGTCTCGTTTACTGTCCAAATTTCCCAACTCCAGGCACGACATCAAGCCGAGGGTAATCTTTGCGACGCCTCGAGTTATCTTCCTCGTCACAAAGTTCTCGCCACGGCGCGGACTCTCGTGATTGAACAACACGCCATTGCAAGCGAACATTCCGTACGCCTCGCGGTAGTTCACCACAATCCAGTAGCCGTACAATTTTGCGCAAGCTGAATTTAATTATATTTATTATTATAACAATCTAAACAATATTTATAACAATAAAAAAAAATTTAACTATCATAATGCCCTGCTCCCCGCGGTATATTGCCAAATATACTGGTTGCGTTTCCTAGCTGAATGGCAACACTAGAAAAGAACCGCCACTCATGGTCACAAGCAGTGTCCGACCAGTTACGAATACCATTCCTTAACAAACTTTACCTCACGTATTAAAGTATAAAGAGAATAGAAATAATTTTTATTCAATACTAGCTGTTCACAGCTACTTTGTCTGCTTCAAAATTATTACGGTTGGATTTTATGTAATTATTTTTCCAAAATAAAGGTAGCCTAAGTTACTCCTTATAACGCCAGCTATCTGCCAGAGAAAGTCCCGTCAAAATCGGTCTACCATTTCGGAGATTTGGCGGCACAAACAGACACAGACAGACAAACAAAAATTTAAAAAAATTGTTTTTTCTTTGTTATAAGTATCGTATATACTTTCATATGCATTTAGGAACAAGCTGTTATTTTGCCATTACAAACAGACAATACAATTTTATTTATTTGTATAGAGTACAAGGCATTAAGTCCGCCCTTTGTAATAATTTTTTTAATGTGTGCAATAAAGTGTCAATAAATAAATAAATTACAAGTATAAAAGTCATTTTTCTTTTGTTCTTCTTATATACAAAAGCGACAAAAGGGCTAACTGCCTGGTGCTGTGATTACACATTCTACTATGCAAGTGGAACAAGTTCTAGAGTGGAACGTTTAGGATGAGTGAAGAAGACTTACTTATAATCGATGATTATCGCTTACTTAAACCAAGGATTAATTATCTCTATACCTGTCTCTTTCTATTTTCATTTAGTGAAAAAAGAGAGAAAGAGAGAAAAGAACATTAGGTGTTTCTTAAATTGACATTCATTGTATGAAAGCCTTTAACTTTTAATAACAAGAAAATCAGTTATTTATTTATTTATTTAAGTACACCAACGATTGTTACAACAATGCAGAAATAGTAAACACACATCCAATTATTAATAATAATAATTGTACAATCAATTAAAGTTATACACCGCATGCACATACTAAAAAGTTACCTAGTAATTTTAGATACATAAAATACAAAAACTTAGGATAGAACAAAATAATTTTATGTATATAAAACAATGATTTACACCTAGTTACTTAAATAATGTATCGTCTACTGTGGGCCTTTATACGTGGTAGAGTTGAGTATAGTTGTAGCACGAATGGGTCGGCTCGACCGGGGAAGGACCACGCTCTCACAGAATACCAGCGTAAAATGGCAACTTGACACTGCTGTGTTTCGTATGGTGAGTGTAGAGAACCGGAGACCCTTTTTACTGGATAGGAGGCATTCAATCTTAGTCCTCACGAGTGACAAAACATGTGCATTTTGATTCGCAAATGAAGATAGATGTAGATGTCTATGGGCCACAACAACCACTTACCATCAGGTGGACTGTGTGCTCGTTTGTCACTCGATCCTATAAAAAAAAAACTTATTTTTTAATATCATTAAGAGTGCAGGACAACCCAACTGATATCTTATAATCTTGAAAAAGAAGGATAGGTCAAGTAGATCCATGCGGTTGTCCAAGCTCTGCATCTTTAGGAACTCTAGTAGGTCCTTGTATGGACTAAATCTTATATGCCAGAAGTGTGAGAACACCAAGTGTTTTACTAGTCGTTTTTGAATGCGTTCAATACGAAGTGTGTGTGTAGCATAGTGTGGACGCCAGGCCACATTCCCATACTCAAGGATCGATCTGAACAAGCTATTGTATAGTGCAATTTTTGAGGAATAGCACTTGAATACTCTAGCGTTCCTGATAATAAAGCCCAACATCTTGGACACCCTTCCTATGATGTTGTCAATATGTGGGACAAATGTCATTTTACTATCCATAAGCACCCCAGATCCTCTACTACTGTCTTGTCTCCTAATCGAATCCCATTAATGCTGTAGACGGATGGAATAGGATTCAATTTTCTAGTGAATTTAATGTGAACACATTTATTGATATTGAGCTCAATTCCATTCGTCTGACACCATTTCACTGGCGAATCAAGATCTTTTTGTAAATGCGAAACATCATCTTGTGTTTCAATGAATTTCCACAGTTTTAGGTCATCTGCGAACATCGACGGGGACGAGTATTTTATGTAATTAGGTATATCGTTTACAAAGATATTAAAGAGAATAGGGCCTAGGTGTGAACCTTGCGGAACACCAGCAGTGAAATCTAGTAACTCTGAGCTAAAACCATTAACGACTACATAGAAAGAGCGTCCAATATAAGATTAGAACCAAGCTAGAACAGCTTATCTTTTAATGCTCTATCTACTAACATATTATCAATCATTGTAACAACGATCAACACTGTAGGTAATCTTTGTTTTATCAAACGAGTCCATTGATTTTAGGCTTAAATCTTTTTTAAGCCTAAAGTCAATGGATTCATTTCACTGTTTACAATCGATAAAAACAAAGAGACGTAAACTCACCGTAAGGCGACCTTGGATAAAAGGGGGTCTTCTCATTTTGCGGCACTTCCACCACCTTTCCGTATAGCTCCGACGTGGATGCCTGGTAGATCTTAGTCTCCTTTTCGAGACCGGCGACGCGGACCGCCTCCAGCAACCTCAGCGTGCCCAAGGCGTCCACTTGTGCAGTATACTCGCTTAACTCAAACGATACTTTAACGTGCGATTGTGCACCCAGGTTGTAAATTTCCTTTGGCCGAGTCTGAAAAGGATATTTAAATTGAAAACCTCTGTGTCATAACTTCCAGTAACCGTCATAAGAGGAGACTATAAGAAAAGCCAACAAGACTTCGTGGCAACATAGTATGTAGTATATGCCAGCCATGAAATGCACAGATAGGCGACTGGACTTAGCGTGTAGGGTGCGATAAATTTGTTCGTACTGCAATCGCCACGCGTGGCGACTAAAAATTACTTTCAACTAACGGACGGGCCTATGTTAAGTTGTAAACAGTTACAGGCTAACAAAGAAAGAAGATATGTCAGCGGCGTTCTTTCCTTATATATAAGAGACAAATTGTATATTGGTAAAAAAAAAACAGTCTATGTTAGTAGTCTAAAATAATAATATATTGTAAGGTCATGAGATCTAGAGATCTCGGTTACTACGATACGGAACCCAGTTTCGATAGAGGTTACCCAAAATTCGTGCAAAAACACAAGCTGTTTGTTTTCGCACCTTAAACTTTTTCGCGTCATGTTGGTCATGGGTTGTGTCTAATCATTCATGCTGCAGCTATGATATGCCTCCAGCGTTGGCTCCCTAATAAATTACAGGATACGAACATTTACAAACATTTTATTTATTCTTATAATTCGATTGAAAAAGTAAAATAATTATCAAACGACTTCAAAAAAAAAAACAAAGTTATTAATTCGTCGGAATATTTTTTGTATATGATCAGCGATAACTCTTTACTACGTAGTTCGATTTTAATGATTCTTTTTATGGGATGGGATTTATGCGGAAATAATCAAAACTTTTTAATTTGGTAAAGCATTTGCGGCGCACATGGGCGAATAATTCTTTACCACATTGATCGATTTCAATGAATACATTTTTTATGTTACTTAGTTGTTTTTGACATTTTTTCTACGCTGACAGATAATAGATCTAATAATTTTAATCAGTTTTCAATAATGCTAGCGATGAATAAACGATTGTAATAGATAATTTTAAAAATAACATACAATTTTTTTTATAAAAAGTAATAATAATTATAAGATAGTTATGTCAATTAATGTGTATCTAATAAAACATAGATAGGATGTACCACCAAAACGAGATAAAAGCCACGTGTTTATTTTGAGTTTTTTGTTTTAAGGATAAGGGCTTCAAACGAGCACACAGTCCACCTGATGGTAATTGGTTGCTGCGGCCCACAGACATCTACATCTATCCTCGATTACGAACCAAAATACAGATGCGTTGTCACTCGTGAGCACTAAGATGGAATGCCTCGTTTCCAGTAAAAAGGGTCTCCGGTTCTCTACACCCACCATACGAAACACAGCAGCGGTAAGCTGCTAATTAACGTTGGTATTCTGTGAGAGCGTGGTCCTTCACCGGTCGAGCCGACCCATTCGTGCTACAACTATACTAAGCTGCAGCATAGCTCTCTACCACATAAAGTATTCCTTCCCTGCATTAGTATACTACTTATATTATAACGCATTGATGCATGAGCAATTGAGGCCGTACTTTTTTGTCAATATTGAGGGCAATTTAATAGAAACGTCATTATAGGAATAGAATAGAATGATTTTTATTCAATATAGATTATTACATAATACTTACTGAGACATTTTTTATTTGCCATATATATGACTAATATGGTGTGATGGAGCAACCCGGATCCGATCCCCACCGACACCAATGAAATGGTTAATTTTAATTGCAATTTCAAGTGGGTGCTGATTTACCTAGTGCTCGCCGAGGAATGAAAACAACAAAACTCGCGATATCGTCCATACCATCAGGATGATTGGCGGTCTACCACTGTGCGATTTACAAGAAATTTTACTTCCTCGCACAACTTCCTTGTGGAATCGATTACCACCAGCGATTTTTCCGGACCGATACGACTAAGGGACCTTCAACAAAAGAGCCTACTCTTTTTTAAAAGGCCGGCAACGCGTTTACAATTCCCCTGGTGTTGCAGTTGTTCATGAGCGGCGGTAGTCACTTACCATCAGATGAGCCGCATGTTCGTTTGACTCCTCTTATATTATATAAAAAAAAACATCGTGAGGAAACCTGCATGTCTGAGAAATTAAAAAATATTTTCGAAGTCATTATGGAGTTCGCCAAAACGTATTGGGGCAGCGCAGGGGACATTTCTTCGCCCTAAAACCCTCACAGAAATGGAAGGCCTTTATTGTTCATTTTATATAAATTGAAAATCAGAATACAGAAACGTGATAAGCTCATATTATCATTATCACGTTAATCGTTTGACGAATTAACTGGTCGTTTGATAGTTGGTAGACTTAAAAAGTTTGGTGCTCTAACAAAAGTTTGTTTTTATATTTGATCAGTAACCGGGCTAACGGTCAAGTTCAAGGTCTAATACAGCCCATAGACACCTGCAAGGGTGCACAACTAATTGCGCTTTCCAGCACTCGAGAAGTTTTCTTCTCCATCAGTTGTCGGTTCTTCCACCAGACCAGACCATTACCACATCGGCTTACTTGTCTATTGGGCAATGTCAGTTATTCTTATTCTCCTGTGAATATCCTCATTACAGATTTGCATGTGCTTTAGTTGTAGTAAAAACGTAACTGTATACGCGTCAATGTGTGGGTGCGCCCTTTGTTCACAACCGGCCACTTCGTCAGACACGCTCACAATAACATAACAATAACATGCTGTGAGACATTCCATCTCAGTTCTCGGTAGTGACAATGCATCTGTAATAAAATCTGGTAGAGCCTAGCTATATTGTGGTTGCAGCACGAATGTGCCAGCTCGACCGGGGTAGGACCACGCTGTCACAAAATACCAGCGAAAATAGCAGCTCAAAGCTGCTGTGTTTCGTATGGCGAGTGTAGAGAACCGGAGACCCCTTTTACTGGAAACGAGGCATTCCATCTCAGTCCTCAATGGTGGCGGCACATCTGCATTTTGATTCTTAATTGAGTATAAATGTAGATGTCTATGGGCCACAGCAGCCACTTACCATGAGGTGGACTGTGTACTCGTTTGTCACCCTTATTCTATAAAAAAAATCTATGTTTGAAGTTGGCTGCAGGTTTCCATGGACTGCAGTAGTCACTTACCATTAGATGAACTGTAAATTCGTTTGTAACTTCAATTTCATAAAAAAAAAATAATGAAACATTAATAATATATATGTATATAAATTATTTCCACATACCTTAGAAATAATACTTATGAGGCAAGTGGTGTCTGTGAGATCACCATAATGTAGGTGCATTTGACCCCCAGTATGGCATGCTGGCTGCTCATACAAGTGCTGGATACGACCAGTGTTGAAGGAGGAGGAGCGTCGCAAAATCCCATGCACCTCGTACCCTTTCTCAATCAAAAATTCTGCTAAATATGAACCATCCTAAAAAGTAAAATTTATATAATTTCTTCTTAAGTGTAGAAACTGAGTGACAAGCAGCAGAGCGGGGTGTTCTACATGCTAGACAAAAACGCCTCCTGCACGTCTCACACCTCACACGTAGACTAGACTTCATTTCAGGCTAGTAATTAAGAAAAAATAATAATGTGTCTGTGTGTTTTACTATTTCAAAACATTATTAATATTTTAAATAAAACTAATTTTACGGATTCTATCGCGTATATTAACTTATTTTTATATATTCCCGACGTTTCGGGTGCTTTCCAGCACCCGTGGTCACGGGGGACTGAGTTGTTTGACGTCCTGCTGTCATAGTTAGCCCGGCTACCTTCAGTTTTTTAATATTAATTTTTGGTTCGATTTACGCAGAATGAGCTTACAGTATCTTGAAGTCTAGCAGTGGTATACTTGGGTTTGGATTTGATTTTATTAATAATGGGATCCCAAGCAGATGGCAGCACCCATCCATCTTCTCTATTGAAATTAGGATGTTTTTTAATTTCAATAGCCTCGCGAATCATCCTTGGGAGGAATCGGTGTTCTTTTGCGAGGATTTGTGGTCTATCAAATCTAATGTAATGGCGGGGACGATCTTGAACATGTTCACAAACTGCAGACTTCCCGATACGTCGGTGCTTCACGTCAGCTATATGTTCTTTAACGCGGGTTTTAATAGATCTTTTTGTTTGTCCTATGTACGAGAGACCACATTCACAATCCAGCTTGTACACTCCTGCATCTTGTAGAGGGATTTGACACTTGACGGATGGTAAAAATTGACTAATCTTCTTCAGCGGCTTGAAGTACGTTTTAATGGAAGCTCGCTTCAAGATGTAGCCAACCTTGTCTGTGACTCCTCTGACATAGGGTAGTACAGCAGGCACACGCTCGACTGTGGCTGGCTTCACTCGGTCACTGTGACGTAGGCGCGGGACCCGAAGCTTGTTGTCTTGCAGTACTTGCTCGACGTGCTGAAGCTCGGCGGCCAGATGTTTTCTGTCACAGATCCCTCGTGCTCTCTGAAACAAAGATTTTCCCACGGTAGCTAACTGTGAAGGATGATGGTGAGATTCACCATTTAAATATCGGTTGGTATGGGTATTTTTTCTGTACACAGTATGACCAATAGTGTTATCAGGATTTCGGATGACTAAAACATCTAGAAAAGCTAAAGTATTGTTTGCCTCTAACTCCATTGTGAATTGTATTTTAGGGTTTATGGAATTAAGGTGGTTTAAAAATGCAGTTACTTTGTCAGATGGTAAAATTGTGAAAGTATCGTCTACGTACCGCTTGTAGAATCTTGGATTTACAGGAGCAGTAAGAAGGGCTTTCTCCTCAAAGTCCTCCATGAATATGTCGGCGACTACGGGAGATACAGGTGAGCCCATTGCCACTCCGTCTACTTGCATGTAGAACTCTTCTTTCCACAATAAATAGCCAGATGTGAGGCAGTGTTTGAGTAATACTGCATATTCTGTAGGCATGTTGTTATCTTCTAGCTTTCTAGTAACAATTGAGATGCAGTCTTCAATAGGTAGGCATGTGAATAGTGACTGAACATCAAAACTGACCATAGTTTCATTGTCAGCGAGATGTAGGTCTTTAATCTCACTAACAAAATGGTATGAATCCTTTGTGTGTGCTCTGGTATGTCCTCTTAGTGGTGACAGTATTTTTGCCAAGTGTTGAGCCAACTTATAAGTTGGTGAATCGATCTGGCTTACTATAGGACGTAGTGGAGCATTTGGTTTGTGTATTTTCGGTAACCCATACAACCTCGGTGGTTTGGCACATGATGGTATTGTCGAATTCACGTCAAGATCTAATTTTTCGGAGTATTTCTTTATTAAATCAGTAGTTGTTTTGAGTGTATTAGTTGTAGGGTCTATTTTGACCTTTTTGTATGTACTTACGTCCGATAAAAGTTGTTGTATTTTGAAATTATACTCTGACGTGTCCATTATTACCGTAGCATTTCCTTTATCCGCGCGGAGAATAGTGAGCTCTGGTCTGTTGCGTAAGTTGTACAACGCTTTAAATTCGTCTTTGGAAAGATTTAGTTTCGGCGCTGAACTTCGACGTAACAAGGACGAAATGTCTTGACGTATAGCCTCTAAATCCTCTTTACCGATATTATTCTTAAACAGACAATCCTCAACGCTACAGATAATTTCTTCGTACGGGATTTTTTGCGGCGTTATAGCAAAATTTAAGCCTTTCGACAATACATTTATTGTAGGTTCGTCCAGTGTATCTTTTGACAAATTATAGACCGTGCGTTGTTTATTGTTTGCGTCTGTGGTCAACGGTTGTTGCGTTTCGTTTCTACGTTGACATGGATGTTTGGCATTTGATTTGATAGTTAATTTTTGGTATTTTTCTATTTGTTTGTCTTTGCATTCATTGTATTTCGATATTTCGCGTTTGTTTAAAGTTTCAATGCAATTATTAATCAAATAAATAATAATTATTATTTATTTATTTTATGCAACAAGGATCATATAACATAATTAGTATAATTAGGTGATGATAACATAGCCTATTGTTAGTAATTAATTATAATAATAAAGAAAAGTTAAATAAAAATAAATAAATAAGAGAATAAATAAAAATCTTACAGTAAGGACATAGTTGATTTCAGATTTGCCAGTACATGAACCATACAACAATTGTTCAGATACTGACAGTAAACTCTATATGAGTACATCACTAGGATGCTGTTGGAGCTGGTCCGGATCTTACATACCAGGGATGTACACTGCTTACATATTATTATTATTAATCATTATCATCATCATCATTACAGGTCTCAATATAAGTCCATTGCTGAAAATAAGCCTCCTCCAAAAAATGGCATAATACACAATCCTGAGCCACCTGAATTTATAGCCTGCTTCCGTGTCTTACCAGGTCGTCAGTCCATCTAGTGGGAGGTACCCTACAATTCGCTTACTAGTGCAAGGCTGCCACCCGAGTATTTTTCCACCTCATCTTTATCAATATGGGGCTTCATAATACGGACCATAATTACCACTTAATTTTTTTTAAAAGAAGTGATCTTTTCTAGGTCACTTACTGGTCCTACTGCTGATACTTCCATTACAAATTCTATTAAATAGGAAAACTCCAAGCATAGCCCTCTCCGTAGTTAGTGGTGCAACCTTAAGCTTTTTCATAAGTTCAGCAGTGGAGAAACATGTCACAGATTCATATGTCGTCACTGATTTTACACTACAATTGTATGTATTATTCAGTGTTTAGATATTACTATTTTTAGTAATTATGAATTGGTATATATTATTTTATAAAAAAAATTACTTCCTCTTAAATTAATGGCTGTCATGTAACAATTCGGTCAATATCATGTCAGACATAAGGATGACGAAATATTAGAAACAAAAGATTTTTTTTACTTTGATTGAAGGTTTGAGTTTTGCTATAGCAAAGTCAACCAAAAATTTAAAGCCCATTACCTTAAAGAAATATAATATACATTTATTGATACATCTGTACAATATTAATAAAATTGAAGTGTCTGTCTGTAATCAGGGGACATTTTGGGTATAATTTAAATGATGCCATTATATTTCAAATTTGTTAAATAAAGATAATCTTTACACTCATGCATGCTAAGCCTAAGGAAAAGTATAAAATAAATTGTCGATGGAACAATCGAAACCAGGTTGCTTGAATACTTTGGAATTTAGAGCTGCACTTAGTCCCTGAGCTACCATGGCCCTCCTTAAGTAGAGTCAAAAATAAATTAAACTATTTTATTCATTTTAAATAATATGCAAATAATATATATAGAACATTCCTATTTTGAAAAATAAGAAAAATGTCAGTAATTTTTAGCTCTAGCAGCCCCAGCCTACAGTACTTTGGTCTAAAATACTATGTAACTGTATGTATATGTATAGAGTATATGAATTTCTGACCGGTGTGCTGTAAGTACATTCATATTATAGTATTATTAATTTCAGTTACTTAGTGGGTAAATACATTCTTTATCAATGCCTAAATTCTATTTCATATTAATTTTTTAGAAAATTAGTAACCTAAGATTCCCTTAGCTTCAAAATATTTATTAGAAGGTATTCGTCTTGTGTTATCCAACTATTGTATCACAGTTTTAGTTTTAATATTATAACATTATATAATATACTATAAAGATTAAAATTAAGTATATAAATTAGCTATTTAAATTTAAGATAATTTTATTATGCAGTAAGATGTATGAGTGGGTGATGAATTCTCCAACAATATTCTCAGAGGTTAAGTGAAATTGTTATTATTATTAGTCTAGTCTAGATGTTCTTTAAATTTTTCTTAAACAGTAATTGCTGCAAAATATGAATGTATTAATATTCTTTATAGAGATAACTCATTTAACTTCAATTTTATAAATGTGTTAAATTAATTTAAAAAAATGTTAAAATTTGGTAATATTTTATATTCAGGCTCTATTTTGCCTATTATTTTCTTGCCTTCTGGGTGGGTATATGATTTATTCTTGCCCATATTTTTCATTCAAAAGGCATGCAACCCTGGCATACCTATCCTCATTTCTTAGAGGTTTATGGAGCAGTTAGCTCATCGCGTCGCCTTGTTTCAGATCAACTTAAGAAATTATAATATTGGCATAATATAGCGTGATGTTCTGCAGTCTGATAATGATTATAGATAATATTGCTTAATCACAAGAAATGTTTGTGTATATATACGTGTACAGAATCCGTATTTTTTCATAATTATTCAAATTTGTTATAACACACTGACCTGACCCGTAATTCCGGTAATAAGAGCCACTTTTCTTTCCCCATGGGCTTTAGTATTCGAACTTTCTCCTGACATAGTAATTTACACTGAAAAACTATTCTTTTAAAACACGTCTACACTCGGCGAGCCGGTGATTGAGAGATAAGCTTATCATATAATGGAAGTGTTAACATGAGCAATAAATGATGACATAAAACTACACGTAGATCTTTATTGTGGCCAGTTGCCGTGTATAATTTGTGAATAGCGTTTGTATACCAAAACATCCATAATAAAACGCTAATATATAATCATTCAATAAACTTAGCTATCTAAACTAAACTAAGCCCAACAAAAAAGTCCAAAACTCCTTAATGTCAAAATGACGCAAAATAACCAAGGCTGCCAATGCCAATGTGTGTAATTCCCCAAAAATACGAATAAAATTCCCCAAATTTGGGGACAAATCTGCTAATTCTCCATAAATGCCTCTCAATATTATTTTAAACATAAAAACAAGATTTGTACTATTACACTTCTTCCATTTCAATTGTTGCAAGCATTTTTCTTGAAGGGTTAAACTAGATGCTTCCACCCAATATTTTAATCCTCTCTCTTGTTGCCGGTTTTCTGTTTTTAAATTTTGAAGCACACTTAATTATCGTTCGAACGATGCGTATGAAAACGGCAGTATGTGCAACAAGGACATCACAATATTTGTGATTGGGAACATGTATTTTCTCGTATGCTTTAGCACTTTACCACAGTAACATTCAGCACCCTTGTTATTTTCATGATTTTTAAGTTCGTGTTGATCAAAATCTAAGAAAAGAATACACTGTATTCGATCGCATTCTCACGCAGGCTAAATACTATAGATATGTACGTTTGTCTCTTTTCAGTGTCGCTTTTTCATTTCATCCAGTTTCAAATCACAACGATGCTAAAGAAGTATTGACTTCAAAAATATTAAAACATTTGGAATTCGCAAAGAAGTATGTTTTTTATAGCAGAGGGGGCAAACGAGCATGCCGCTCACCTGATGGTAAGTGACTACCGCTGCCTATAAAAAATTGCAACACCAAGGGAATTGCAAATGAGTTACTGGCCTTTTAAAAAGAGTAAGCTGTTTTCTTGAAGGTTTCTAAGTCGTATTGGTCCAGAAAAATCTCTGGTGGTAAAAGATTTCGCAATGAAGTTGGGCGAGGAAGAAAACATCTTCTAAACTGGACTAGATTTAGTCGCCCCCAATTCGAGACTTTGTTCAACAAAAGCTCGACTTCAGACATAAGTTTGTGCCGGTACTCGACGACGTTTTCCCGAGAAATATTGGCACAGCCGGTGTATAAAGCATCATCAATGCTGTTGTGTGTATATCAATGAATGTTAACGGTTTGCAACATATGCATTGATATGCAGCAGAAACAGCGTTGGTGACAGCACGTAGCCTTGTGGAATACCAACATTAATATGCTTGTAATTGGGGCATTTACCGTCTACTACGAGCTTGATGCTCCGATGTGCAAGAAAACTGGTGATCGACTTGTACAATTTTTTGGGAAGCGCATAGCAAGGGAGCTTCGAAAGAAGCGCTTTGTGCCATACTCGATCGAGGGTCTTCGCAACGTACAAACTAACGGCCAACGCCTCCCCCTTGTACTCTACCGCCTTCTCAATCTATGAGTTAGGTACGCTAGAAGATCACCAGCTGACCGATCCCGACGGAAACCGTACTTGCAATCACTAATCAGCTAGTGATTCTCGAGGTATCTCATAAGCTGGCATTTTATGATAGTTCCCATTATTTTGAAGAACAAGGAGGTGATGGCGATAGGTCTGTAGTTGAACGGATTTGAGCTGTCGCCTTTTTTAGAGATCGGTTGCAACAAAGCTGTCTTCAGCACAATAGGAGGGACGCCACCAGGCCCACTCGACTTGTTGAGGTCAAGGGAGAGGAGTGCTTTGCGCACTGAGCGCTGGGTAAACAGCACATCCTGCATGGGTCACGCTCAGCGTGGGATGGTCGTCGGTGTGTTCCCCCGTCATGAAGATTCGAGTTGGACGCAAAGAGAGTGCCTAGCAGATCGGCTTTCTCCTTTGCGGCATGGGCCAGTGAGTCGTCCACCCTGTGCAGAGATGGCAGAGATGGCAGAGATGGCTGACAGAAGTTCCCTTGGACAGCCTTGGTGAGAGACCAGAATGCACGAGTTCCCGAAGAAAGGCGAACTAGTTTCTCGCCAATTCTGCCGATGTGCTCTGACTTTGCTTTGGCAATAACACTTTTGAAGGACCTGGAAGCGGAATTATACTTCTTTTTTAGAGATTGCTAGTATCTACATCCCGAGACGCCGATGCGTGAGCCCAGGCCCGGTAGTACTCTTGGTTATGGCGTGAAGTAATTTTGCAGGCGCGACCAAACCATGGCTGAGTTCTGCCTCCGATAGGTACCACAAATGATGGAATTAAAAGTTCCATTCCCTGAAGCACCACATCAGCGACAGAATCAGCAACAACGTAACGAAACTAGTAAGATCAACTCTCGCAATTCAAACTACCAGTTAAGTATTATTAACAAATTAACCGAATCAGATCAGGACATTGCAATGGTTTTTGAGAAATATTTTACTGATATTCCGATATTAACCACTAAGTCACTGAATTCTTCTCCTGCCGTCGCCGAGTCATTACTTAAACAAAATGTAAATGCGAGGACAAAGAATTTTACATTTCATAAAGTATCATCAAAAGATATTGTAAAATATTTTAAAACTATTGATGTTAAGAAACCTGCGGATCTGTGGGGGATTTCCGTTAAAGTTAATGCGTCTATAATAGATACAATCGCGCCTCATTTAGCTATTATTTTTAATACTAGTATCGAATCTGTTATGTTTCCTGATTTAATGAAGTATAGTAAAGTAATACCTTTATTTAAATCTGGTAGTACATTAGACCCCGCCAATTTTAGACCTATTTCTGTACTACCAACACTTAGTAAGATTTTTGAAAAAAATATACTTGATCAAATGTTACATGTCTTTAATATAAATAATTTACTTCATAAAAATCAATTTGGTTTCACAAGGGGTCGCTCGACAACTGATGGCCGTGTTGAGCTGATTAAATATATCTTTAATGCATGGGAGAATTCACAGGATGCTTTGGGTATATTTTGTGACCTATCCAAAGCCTTCGATTGTGTTCACCATGAAACATTAATCAGGAAACTTCAACACTACGGTGTAAGAAGTAATGCTTTTAAATTAATTATTTCATATTTAAGTAAGAGAACGCAAAAAGTTGTCATTAACAGTATGAGTTCTTCCGGGTCGATGGTACAAATGAGCGTGGTTCAAGGCTCAATTCTCGACCCCTTTCTGTTTCTTGTATACATTAATGACTTACCTTACATAGTAGGAGATAAACATGATATAGTATTATTTGCAGATGACACTTCTTTAATTTTCAAATTAAGTCGACAATTGCTAAAATATGACGAAGTAAATAATGCTATATCTAAATTAGTAACTTGGTTCAATGTTAATAATATGCATTAAATGGCACTAAAACGAAATGTATGAAATTCATGACTCCAAATGTCAAACAATTAAATACTAATGTAATTTTAAATGAGGAGAAACTGAGTCTTGTAGATACCACCAATTTTTTTGGAATCACACTAGACGCGAAGCTTCAATGGAGCCCCCATATTTTATCAAAATTAGCAAGCAGAATTAGTTCTGCAGCATATGCCGTAATAAAGATTAGAAGTCCAACTAGTGTTGAAACAGCTAGACTAGTTTACTTTAGCTATTTCCATAGCATAATGTCGTATGGTATTTTGCTATGGGGACACGCAGCTGAAACTGAAATTATATTTGTTTTACAGAAGAGGGCCATAAGCGCAATTTATGATTTCAAGCCTAAAGAGTCGCTGCGACAAAAATTAAATGAAATGTTAATATATTAACTTTGGTCTCTCAATAAATTTATGAAAATGTAATGTATGTACACAAAAATAAAAGTAGTTTTACAGAAAAAGTCATATTCATTCTGTACATACTAGGAACAGACACAAGCTAGTAGTACCAACTGGTACTCCACTCCACCGAGTCAGTAATTCATTCTTAGGGTGATGTATACGCTTTTACAACAAAATTTCAGAAAATTACAAAATTTGACCTACTCAAAGTTCAAAAACTTTATTAAACTAAGTTTGTATAAAAAGGGTTATTATAATATTAAAGAATTTGTAGCTATTTCTAAATTGTTGTGTTGTTAACTTGTGTAACTTACATGATTGTAAGCTGTAATTTAAAAACCCGCTGGGTTACTTGCTGGTTCTTCCCAGGACAGAGATTTTTTTCGAACCAGTGGTAATTATACAAAAGAGTGACTTTCAATAAGTATTATTTATAATCTATATTGAATAAAAAAGTTTCTGTTTCTGTTTCTACATATATGGTTAAAAGTGCAATAGAGTGGGATAGACTGACATTTTGTTTTTAGAGAATGCAAGACGGTTAGTGACGCCGATGCCATAGTCAAATTGATTATTTTTTCTTCTTCTCTTTTTTCTTATCTTCACGCACAATCCCTGACGGGGTAGCCAGAGAGAACAGATCGCCAAGTGTCACGATCCTTCCTTACAAACCTCTTTCGCTTCTTTCAGATTCATTATCTTCTTCATGCATGCACGTCTAGGTATCCGAGTACTTTTGACCCTACCCTCTTCGAGCAATTTGCTCACATGGTCTTCGAAAGTTAGTCTCGGTCTACCTCGACACCTTTTAATATTAACTTTCGCGCTATATATTTTCTTCACCATTCGGTCTTCACTCATTCGCTCAACGTGCCCAAACCACCGAAGCACGCCCTTATCAATTTTTGTGATAAGGTCATCTTTCAAACCTGCCATATTGCGAATCTCTTCGTTTCGCTTTCGGTCGGCCATGGTAACGCCGCACATTTTACGAAGAGATCGCATCTCCACTGCATTCAACTTACTTTTATACTTCTTCTGGCATACCCAGGTTTCGCTGCCATATAACAAAGTTGGTACCAACACTGCGTTATGTATTGCAAGGCGTGCACTC